CGCGCGGCCGCGGGGGGGGGCCCCGGCCGCCCCTTCCCTGCATCCCGGTGCACTAAGCATGCTCCCCCATGTTTCTCTGGCTAAGTAGCCTAAAAATGCTGCACTGGAGCAGCCCTATACATATATAAATATATATTATATATAATATAAAGAAAAAAAACCCGAAAACACACACAAAGGAAAAGGTAAATGGTTTTACTGCAATTTTTATTGAGACGTAAATAATATTTCAATTTTTTTGTTTTGTTTTTAATTTATTGAAGCTGTTCATTCTGGCAATGATTTGCAGACAATGTGGGGCGGTACTTTCAGCTCTATTTTTACTGTGTATGGTATTTAAATCTGAAATACGAGTTTCTAAGCAATATCTGAGGCCTGTGGCTCCTTCTATAGCTCATGTCAATGACAAAAGATTTTCCCCCTTTCCCTCTGGGCACAGCAACAAGGGGACAGGAGACTCTTCTGGGCACTTTTTCTAGAAATGAACAAGCGAACGAGCAAACCATAAAACCTTCTTACAACACAAACTGAGCCAGAAAACTCTCTTCTGGAAGCTGCTGCCGCTTCTTCACCCCTTGGTCTCTGTTTGCTTCCCCTCATCCCCATCCCAGCCATCACCCCCATCCCGGCCATCATTCCATCCCAGCCATTGTCCCCACTCCGGCCGTGCCCCCCTCCCCTCCCCTAGGCTGCCCATCCTTGCTGGAGGGGGCGAGGAGGGAGTCACCTGAAGCAGAGGGAAGGGTGCCGGATGTCACCTCCAGCTACGTGGGGAAGGCATTGGAGGCTGCCGCAGTGGAGGCAGGGAGAGGAGGCTGGCGGTAGTTGGGATTTCTTGTCAGGAGGTGTCTTGCCTGCCTGTCCCAGCCCCTCTGCTCCCTCTGGCCTCAGCCACCTTGCTTGGGAGGTATGGGCACCATTTTCCTTTTGAGGGCGGTGGTTTTTCAGGCTTCCCCCATCCTTTGCTTCACATCCAAGAAACTCACGGGGAGCGTGTTTGCAGGTGCTAGGACTCACCTGGCCCTGTTCCCCTCCGGGCTGGCTCCCCTCCTTCCAGCAGGTGATAAGCTGGCCGGACACGAAGCTCTGCAAGCACATGGGGGGCACAACCAACTCATTTTCAGAGGCGTTTGGCTGCTTCCCCCCGTCCCAGTGGGGAGCCAAGCTCTTGCCCCCAAACCCTAACATCAGGCTTGCTGAGAAGCTGCTTTCTGGAGCTGTAGGCACTGAACTGCCTCTGCTGCAAAGCACATCTCTCCCTGCGGCTGTCTTTGCTTTCTCCCTTGTCTTGCGCTAGTTTGCAAAGCTAATACCTCAGGGGTCTCTGTTTGTGCATGTCTGTGTCCTGTGTCATCCTTGGAGTGGTGTTTTTTTCTTTTCTGGGTCCACACGGTTTCTCTCCCTTTCCCTTGGTCCTCCTCTTGTCATTCGTTTCTATCTTTAAATCAAACTACACGTGACAAAACCAAATGATCTCAGGTTTAAAACTGAACACAAAGTAGAGGCGTGAGGAGCTGCAGTCGTGCGAGGCGGGGCTGCTCGCTTCAGCTGGTTGCTTCCCCAACCACCTCTGTGTCTGCAGTCAAGGCGAGTGTCCCCAGAGGCTCCTCGCTCTCTTCAGGCTGGCTTTAGTTATTCTGGTTTTCCATGGGGCCATTTGGTGAGATGCTGGGGACCCCCGTGTGCTCCTGCCTAGTTCCCCAAGGTGTGGCGGGGAGGGACGAGGGTGGCTGGAGAGCCAGGGACCACCTGCCTCTCTCCCCACATCGCTTTTGATGAGGGCGAGAGATCTCGTAGTCATCCCTTGAAAGCCCACTGCCACCCATTATTGCCTCCAGCAACCACCTCAAACCATCTCAGTGTTGCCAACCTGAACATTTCTCTCTTCTGGCCGTGAAAGGACAATGACACTATTTTCTAAGCTCCCTTTTTAGATTGCAATAAGCATTTGGGTCCATCCCATGAGCCAGGCAGCTATTCAGGTGCTGCACTCGCAGCAGGGTCTCCTAAGTAGGCATTGATGTCAAGTCCAAGGAGGGAGGGGAAAAGGCTTTGTCCTCCCACCGGTAAGGCCCCCAAGCCCAGGGTCAGTGTCGCCTGCCTCCTGCCCAAGCAGCACTGCTGGTCCCCCTTCCTCTCCTGCTGCCCTCGGCAGTGGCATCTCTTCCCAAGTATGCCAGGGGTCATTGCCTGCTGATCTCTGCTCCGTATCGCTCAGTTCCTGCCCATCCCGTAGTCCTCCAGGGCTGGTGCCAGCACGGATCAACTGAGCTCAGGTCAGGCAAGTTGCTGGCAGGAGCTGGTTAGGTGTAGCTTTGGGCAATGGAAAAGGGGCTAGATGACTTCCCAAGGGGTTTAATAAAAAGAGGACAACAGGTCGGCACAGCCAGGTGAGGAAATGAGACAAGGCACTAGCGAGCTCTCATGTAACTCATCCCGTTAGCTGACACGGTGCATTATGAGCGCAAAAAAGCAGCTGGAGTAAGTCAGGAAGGATTGGGCATGTGTTGTAAATGAGACTCTGAATGCCTGCAAAGAGGCACATACGTGGTTTGCTTTTTGTCATCTCCACTATGCCATCCCCTGGATGCTCCTCAGCCATGTTTGAGGCTTTAAGCACTATGGACTCCCCTCTCCTCTGAAACCAGAGCAAAGAGAAGTAGATTTTAAGATTCGTAGATCATAACTGCTAACAGACATCCCCAACAACGACCCACCTCTGCAGCCTTATTTTGATGTACTTTGCGTTCATCCTTCCCCTTTATGTTGGGCATGTGCACTAGAAGCCCTCTCGTGCAATATTTTAAGGCTACATCCAGAAATATGCCTTGATGGAGCAGCCCTGCCTGAGTGTCTCCTGCTAGTGCTGACCCAAAGCCATCAGGGTCACTGAGTTGGCTTGCAATTAACTTAAATGATTTTTTAAAATCAGACTCTGTCAAATAGGCCACTTTGTTCGTGAATCAGAGAGCTGTGAGTTATCACGAGGATGGATGTGCCGGCTGGTAGCCCTCACCACCATCTGTCAGCCAAGTCTTTTTATGGGCTCTCACAGCCAGATGACCCAAACCAAAGCCTCACTGGAACCAAAAATTGTCTTTCCATACCGATCTGATGAGGGTGCATTTACTCGTAGGGACACACAGTGGCAGAAGTGTGAGCAGAGGAGAGGAAAGGTCTCTCCTTTCAAGGGAGGAACCAACAAAGCCGTTGAGTGCCCGACAGTCGTGGCAGCAGCAATGGCTGAGCTCCCCACCACATGAAGGACAGAGCAAATCACAGCTTTCCTTCAGGCTAGAAGAACATTTTGCCCTTCCCTCCAGCCCCTGCCTGTCCCCAGGGCTGAGCTTCCCAGCCACCTCCTTCCCGGCCACCTTTCGGGGGGCTGAGCGAAGCCAGAAGGAGGGCAGCAATCAGGTCGGCAACACTGAGCCAGAGGCTTGGGTCGGAGCAGGCTCGTCCCCAGCCTCAGCAGCAGTGTCTCCAGCCCCTGCTGCCTTCCCGGCCCTTCTCTTTGTCTGCTTGTTTCTTTGGACATCCATCCCCATTACATCTGCCCCTTAGGAGACGATGCCCCCTAGAACCCCCTCCTGTTGTCCCCTTCCCCCTCCCATCCTTAATACTAATGATAATAAGCTATCAGTGTTGTCATTGCAATCTATGAATGATAGATTTGAGTATTTATTATTATTATTATTATTATTACAATTATTATGGTTATGATTCTGTACTTCTTTGCTTCTTACTCTTTGTATGTTGCTCTTTGTTTCTCTGTTGTGAATAAACGCAAGGCCCCATCACACCTTCTCTCTGCTCCCCGCAGCCTGGCTGTGGCTGCACTCAGCACAGCTCCCAGCTGTCCCAAGCCCCAGGAGGCAAACCCAGCCCAGCAAACCCTTGCCAGAGGAGCTGAAGGGTGGTGCTTCCTAAGGGTATAAAGACACCCAAAGCCAGGGCAGATCCATTCTCTTAACTCTTCCCTTCCCTTCCTACGGCTCCTCTCCCTGGTACAGGTGCCTGCTCATGTTTGCAAGAGGCAGGAACTCACTGGCACCAAGAATAGAGGATTAAATGGCAAAAGCTTAAAGCTTTTGTAACAGCTTTAAGGAGCATTGCCCAGGCATCCAACTCATGGAGTCAGCTCCCTCCAGGTTGTGGTCCTCTCACCTTCTTCTGCTGGCTGCGCCTACAGGCTGCATTGTCACCTGCAGGGGCTTCTTGCTCTGCCATCGCAGCTGGTTTGCAAAGCTTACCCCGCTCAGCTGAGCCCGTGCACTGGTGCCCCGTTTTAGCCACATGCCCTGGACTTTCTTGGCTTGAGTGTCCTCCTTGTGCCAGTGAGCTCCCCCTGCCTGGGGACAGCACAGCCTGGGGAGGACACGTGGCCAGTGTTAGAGCAAGCTCAGTGGCAGAGCAACAAGGAGAGATGTGAGCAGCCTCCAGTACCTGGAGGGATTCAGAAAGGGGCTAGGAATGGCTCCTGACATGGGACTGGATACAGCCTTTATCCAACACATAAATCGGGGTGTCGTAAGCGGAGAGAGTCCAGTGCTTGTTTTTCGCACCCATCGCCTGGGCTCCTTGTACAACCTGGAGGTTTCCAGTTGGCTATAAGGTGAAGGAGGAGACATTAGGGGAAGGGAAGAGGAACCCTGTCTGCACCGTGGTACGAAACACTCTCCGTACTGCGCCAGCCCCATGAAGAGTCATTTTAATTTGCGGGGTTTAACACCGCCCTTCTCCAAGTGGCCTGGGCACGGTCTCTTGTCTCTGTCGTGAC